CCCCGGCCGGTTCTAGCGTCCGGTCCTACGGGATCCTCTCGCAGCCCCGCTGTCCGCGGGATCCCTGCCCAGTCCCGCTGCCCGGTTCTGGTGTCCGGTCCTACTGCCCGCGGGACCTCCGCCCAGTCCTGCTGCCCAGTTCTGGTGCCCTCGGGACCCCTGTCCGGTCCTTCTGCTCGGGCCACCGGGACCGCCGCATCCCCCCGAGACCCCCGCCCGGGCGGGATCGGAGCTCCGGGACTCTGGGGAGGAGCTCAGGGGCGGCTGGTGGGGGAGGGAGGCTCGGCTGGGCAGGGGCAGTTGCACCCCCGGTGACCTTAAATTTGAGGAGGGAAAGAAATCTGAAAAAAAGAATAGAAAGGGATTAAAAAAAACCCCCAAACTGCCGGGTGTAACGGCTGTGCTGGAGCGGGGGGTTTGAGGCTGGTGGTGGTTGGGAAGGGTTTTTGCTTAGTCAAGGTGTGGGGCTGCAGCTCTGGCTGGTCCTTGCAGGGATGGGGAGCGCTGGGGGGTGCTGGGTCCCGCTGTCTCGGTGCTGTCCTCATCACAACCCCGTTATCACCCCCAGAACTGTCACCTGTCACCCCAGCAGCCATTCCCTCCCCTGGCCTGCTGTGAAGTGGGAAAGGCACAGAGGTTCTGGGATTCTGGTGCTGTTGGAAGGAGCGTGAGGCCCCCTCCGAAGCAGGATTGATGCAGCCTTTGTGCTGCACCTCAGTTTTGAGGGAAAATCCCCTGGATTGGTGCTGGTGGAGTGTCAGGACCCCCCAGTTGAGCCTGGAGCTCCAGGGCTGTGTGGCTTGAAGGATTTTGGGGTGATGGGCAGGAGCTGCTCATGGTCCTGATTTCCAGGTGTTGAGAAGAGCTGGGGGAGATGTGGATTTTCCAAGGTTTCATTTCTCCTCTCTGCCTTGTGGGATTTACTCCAAGCTTTCGTTTTTACTTTGCTTTGTGAGAGGCAGGACTGGGTGAGATCAGAGCTTGGGCTGGCACCAAGGATTTGTGTGGGATGGGGACATGGAATGGTCCAGGCTGGGAGGGAGCTGAGTCCTGTAGGGTGAGGGTGAGGAGGATGAAGCAGGAGAACCAGGAGGATGAAGCAGGAGGATGAGGATGTGGAATCCAGGCCTGTCCCCACCACAGGATGTGGGAAGAGCCTTTCACAGGAGAGGGAAGGGACAGGAGAGCCCCAGAGGGGCTGGGAGCATCTCCCAGTTCCCTGATGGAGCCTCCTGATCTTCCTCATCCCCCTTCCTCCTCCTTTCCACCCCTCAATTTGCCCCTTTTAGCTAATTTATCCCCTTTAACCTGGTTTATCTCTTTTTTCCTGAGCTGTTCACTGACACCTCTGCAGGTGGGAGCCAGGTCAGGCACATCTGCCTTCGCTTTCTCAAGCCTGCGAGGTTTCAAGTGATGCTGCTCATTTTATTTTAACTGAATTTAGCCCGAAAACCTCACGAAAAGAGAATTTTTCCTGCTAATTTATGGGTGAGGAACCCAAGGATGCTCCTCCACCTGTGAATTTTCTTGTCCAAGGTGGCAGCAGCACTTCTGGGATCTCCTGTGAACTAATTCTTTTCCTCACTCGTAGTAAAATCAGAGTTTAAAATTTGGGTTGAAGTGGTTTAGTGGAGTCTGTTTGTAGGGTTTATTCTATTCCATTACATTTAGAATATTTTTAATGCCTTACACCCATCCCTTCAGCTTTTCCCCCATTTTTTGACCTCAAATTCTGCAGTTTAAACCTTGAAGAGCTGGGGATGGAACAACTAAAATGAATTTTATCTCAAGAGTTGGGTTTGGGCATTGAAAACATGGAGATCAAAGCACTGGAATTGTTTGTTGAACTTTTTAATGTTGGGTTAGTTTTAAAAATGGATGTTCAGTGCCCAAAAAAATCTTTGTAATTTAAGATTAAGTTTGGGTTTTTTTTCAATGTATTTTAAGATTTCTCAGGAGAATCTAGGAATGGGTTTATTGTAAAAAGGTTGAAGATTTTTTGAAAAATCACATTTTTAGTTGGTGTAAAAAGGTTTGGAAAGTGAGGCATCTGCTCCCACAACTCCCTAGAAAGGCAAAAAGCTTTTGAGGAAAAATATTCAGGAAAAAAATAAAACCTCTCTGCTGAGACTTCAGGGGAGCCTCTGAAATGTAAAGAAATTAAGAAAATATTTCAAAGAAGAAAAGACTTAAAACCAAAACATTTTCACAAGGAAGTGGCAGCAACATCAGGGGGTTGTGTGTGCACTCAGATGGTTTTTTTGGGGGGAGTCAACCATCATTTTGGGGGGTTAATCATCATTTTGGGGGGGTTAATTATCATTTTGGGGGGGTTAATTATCATTTTGGGGGGTTAATCATAATTTTGGGGGGTTAATTATCATTTTGTGGGGGTTGTTAATCATCATTTTGATCAGCAGAGAGTTTGGAATGTCACAGATCAGAGATTCCACATTTTACCGATCCCAATTCAGCTGTGGAACCACCAAAACAACAAACAGGGAGTTCCTCATATCCAGGCTGAATTCCCAGCCAGAAAATCCATTTTTTAATCTTTTTTGCCCCATAAATCCATTTATTTAAAGGAATTCTCAGGCCAGGCAGGAGCAGGAACTGGGCTCCGGTGTCAGCTCTAAAAAAATCCCAGCCCGGCAGAGCCACCGGAGCTTCCGGCACTTCCCGTGAGGAGCTTAACCCGTAATCTGGGGATAGATCCGGGCTGGGGGTGGCTTCAGGGGGGCTGGGGGAGGTTTGTGGGGTGTCTGGGGGCTGACCCCGCTGTCTCCCCAGCCGACCTTCCTGGTGGAACTGTCCAAAGTGCTGGCAAACCCCGGCAACAGCCAGGTCGCGCGCGTGGCCGCCGGGCTGCAGATCAAGAACTCGCTGACCTCCAAGGATCCCGACATCAAGGCCCAGTACCAGCAGAGATGGCTCGCCATCGACGCCAACGCCCGCAGGGAGGTCAAGAACTTCGTAAGTCCTTGGGTTTTGCCTCGTTTTCCCCTCGTTTCCGCCTCTGCTGAAGAACGTCGTCCATGGTTTTCCACCTAAAAAGTTTTCCCGTGGCTGTTCCCGGGCTCTGGGGGCTGGGTTCTGGGAGTTGGTTCCATCTGGAGGGGTTTTGAGGTGGAATCCGGACAATGATCTTCCCCCAGGGGTTGGTTGAGTGCTGGGAGAGCTCCCTGTGGGATGGTGGTGATCCCCAAACTCTTGGAGCTCCGGGAGTTTCGGGTTGGGTTTGTTGGGTTGGGTTTTTGGGCGCTGGAGCAGCTCCCTGTGGAGGACTCATGGTCCCAGAGCTCTCAGAGCTCCAGGAGTTTTGGGATGGAGATTTTGGGTTGACTTTGGGTGGATTTTGGGTGGATTTTGGGTGGATTTTGGGTTGATTTTGGGTGGATTTTGGGTTGATTTTGGGTGGATTTTGGGTTGATTTTGGGTTTTTTCCCCAGAGGGTGATCAGGCACTGGAGCTGATTCCCCATGGAATGGTGGTGATCCCAAAACTCTTGGAACTGCAGGGGTTTTGGGTTGGGTTTGTTGATGTTACGGGTTGGGTTGGGTTTTGAGTTGGATTTGGGGGTTTTTCCTCAGAGGGTGGTGGAGCTCTGGGACAGCTCCCCATGGAAGGGTGGTGATCCCAGCCTTTCCAGAGCTGAAGGAATGTTTGGCCAGGGATGGCCAGGGTGGGGTTTGGGGTGTCCTGCAGGGCCGGATGATCCCTGAGGGTCCCTTCCAGCTCAGGATATTCCGGGATTGCCGGAAGGTTGCGGCAGCACAGGGGAAGGTGGTTTCAAAGTGGGAGAGAATTGATTTAGATGAGCTAAAAGGAAGAAGTTTTCAGCAGGAGGTTCTAAAAACGCTGCAGGGATTTCCCAGGGAAGTCCCAGGATCCCTGGAAGTGTCCAAGGCCAGCCTGGGATGGTGGGAAATGTTCCTGCCCGTGGCACTGGATGGGATTTGGGGTGAATTCCCACCCAAAGCACTCCAGGATTCCCTGGCTTCCCCTGCAGCCGGGCTGGGCGTTGATTTTTCTGCAGGAAATACTTTTTAAGGAAGATTTCTCTTCCCTTTCTTCAGAAGAGCTTCCCCAAGTGCTCTCCAACCCTCATCAACACCTTTGAGACGCTCTGAGTCCAAACAACGTTCACACGAGGCCCAGGAAATTTTAAGAGTGGAAAATGGGGGGTAAAAATTGCAAATCCCAGATAGAAAATCAGGAAAAAATTGGGTTTTTATGCCCTGTGCCTGTTGGAGTTCAGATCCTGCAGGGACAGAAGTGGTAGCTCAGTGGTTTTTTTGTTGCTTTTTTTTTGTTGTTGTTGTTTTTTGGCTGATGGGAGCAAAAAAATGATGCTGGGATTTGTGCAGCGATTCAGTGCCCGATTCAGCCGGGCCGAGAGCTTTATATTTATTTTTTGGGTGTTAATAGAATCTCTCTTTATAATCCCAGAATTATTTGGGTTGGGAGAACCTTAAATTCCATTTTTTTCCCACCTTTTCTGGGTGCTCCTAGCTCAATCCAAGCAGGATTTGGACATTTCAGGCACTTTTTGTACTGAAATTGAACAATTTTTTGCTGTTTTCAACATCAAAAATACAACATTTAGGTGGAAAAAAAATAGAAAATGAAGGTGTGTAACTGGAAATGCTGCAAAAATGAAAAATATATAGTTTTTTAAAGAAAGTTTTATTGTATAATCAAAAATTCTGGAAAAATGCGAATCCCTGCCTGTATTTTTTACAGAAAATATTTTTGTTCAAGTGGAAATGATCAAAAAAAACACTCACTTTATTTTTTTAAAAGGAATTATTGGTGTTTAATTGGGAATGCTGAAAAAAAATCATCCCATGCACCTCCATTTTTTAGAGTTATTGGTGCATAACTAAAAATGATGGAAAAATGGAAATCCCTCTATTTTTAAAAGGAAATTTTATTGGTGCATAACAGGAAAAGCTGAAAAATCCACCCCTCCTCCCTCTATTTTTTAAGGGAAAATTCCCAAAATCCACCAGCAAAATTCCTCCTGATCCATCCCCAACTCACAACAAAATTACCCAGATGATTTTGGCATAAAAAATTCACTTTTTGGGGTGAATTTAACCCAAATTTATTCAACTTTTGCCGTTTCCCTTTACCCCACCACTGTTTTTCCTGAACAAACCGAGCGATTTCAGGATTTTAGGGCTGGGTTTTGGTTTGGATTCTTTGGGTTGAGGATTTTGAAGTTTTTTGGATTTATTTGGTTTAGGGTCAAGTTCTTTGAGTTGGAATTTTGGTTAATTTTTGGGGTTTTAGGGTTGGGTTTTGGCTTGGATTTTTTGGGTTGAAATTTTTGGATTTGTTTGGTTTAGGGTTGAGTTCTTTGAGTTGGAATTTTGGTTAAATTTTGGGTTTGTTTGGTTTTGGTTTGGATTCTTTGGGTGGAAGATTTTGGAGTTTTTTGGATTTGTTTGGTTTAGGGTCGAGTTCTTTGAGTTGGAATTTTGGTTAAATTTTGGATTTTTTGGGTTTTGGCTTGGATTTTTTGGCTTGAAGATTTTTTGGATTTGTTTGGTTTAGAGTCAAGTTCTTTGAGTTGGAATTTTGGTTAAATATTGGGTTTGTTGGGTTTTTGTTTGGATTCTTTGGGTTGAGGATTTTTTGGATTTTTTTGGATTTGTTTGGTTTAGAGTTGATTTTTTGAGTTCAAATTTTGGTTCCATTTTTGGGTTTGTTGGCTTTTGGTTTGGATTCTTTGGGTTGAGGATCTGTTGGATTTGTTTGGTTTAGGGTTGAGTTCTTGGAGTTGGAATTTTGGTTAAATTTTGGGTTTGTTGGCTTTTGGTTTGGATTCTTTGGGTGGAAGCTTTTGGAGTTTTTTGGATTTGTTTGGTTTAGGGTCGAGTCCTTTGAGTCAGACTTTAGATTCAATCTCAACCAATCCGGACTCCGCCCATCCCCACCACCATTTCTCCAGAACAAACCGAGAGATTTCAGGGAAAAAATGAGGGATTTTGGGTTTGAGGGGCATTCCTGCACTCCCTGACCCCATTCCCTGGTGGAACCACAGGTGCTGCAGACCCTGGGCACGGAGACGTACCGGCCCAGCTCGGCGTCGCAGTGCGTGGCCGGCATCGCCTGCGCCGAGATCCCCATGAACCAGTGGCCGGAGCTGATCCCGCAGCTGGTGGCCAACGTCACCAACCAGCACAGCACCGAGCACATGAAGGAGTCCACGCTCGAGGCCATCGGTTACATCTGCCAGGACATCGTGAGTGCTTCGGGCTCTGGGGCCGCTCGGGGAGGGTTCCCGGGGTTCCCGTGGGGTGGAACGGCTTGGGATGGGCTGGGGGCTGTGCTGGGGAGGGTTGGGTTTGGGTTCTTGGGGTCCTTTTTGGCTTCTTTTGAGGTTTTTGGGTTAAAGTTTTTTAGATTTGTTGGGCTGAGTTTTTAGGGTTGGGTTTTGGCTTGGATTCTTTGGGTCTTTTTTGGGTCCTTTTTGGGTTCTTTTGAGGTTTCTGGGTTGAACTTCTTTGGATCTATTGGGTTGGGTTTTGCCTTGGATTCTTTGGGTTCTTTTGAGGTTTTTGGGTTGAAGTTTTTTGGTTTGTTGGCTTGGGTTTAGCATTGAATTCTTTGGGTTGGAGTCTTGGTTCGACTTTGGGTTTGTTGGGTTTTGGCTTGGGTTCTTTAGGTCCTTTTTGGGTTCTTTTGAGGTTTTTGAGCTGAAGTTTTTTGGATTCATTAGGTTGGGTTTAGCATTGAATTCTTTGGGGTGGACTTTTGGGTCAATTTTGGGTTTGTTGGGTTGGGTTTGGGTTCTTGGGGTCCTTTTTGGCTTCTTTTGAGGTTTTTGGGTTAAAGTTTTTTAGATTTGTTGGGCTGAGTTTTTAGGGTTGGGTTTTGCCTTGGATTCTTTGGGTTCTTTTGAGGTTTTTGGGTTAAAGTTTTTTGGTTTGTTGGCTTGGGTTTAGCATTGAATTCTTTGGGTTGGAGTTTTGGTTTGATTTTGGGTTTGTTGGGTTTTGGCTTGGGTTCTTTGGATTCATTAGGTTGGGTTTAGCATTGAATTCTTTGGGTTGGAGTTTTGGTTCAATTTTGGGTTTGTTGGGTTGGGTTTGGGTTCTTGGGGTCCTTTTTGGCTTCTTTTGAGGTTTTTGGGTTAAAGTTTTTTAGATTTGTTGGGCTGAGTTTTTAGGGTTGGGTTTTGGCTTGGATTCTTTGGGTCTTTTTTGGGTCCTTTTTGGGTTCTTTTGAGGTTTCTGGGTTGAACTTCTTTGGATCTATTGGGTTGGGTTTTGCCTTGGATTCTTTGGGTTCTTTTGAGGTTTTTGGGTTGAAGTTTTTTGGTTTGTTGGCTTGGGTTTAGCATTGAATTCTTTGGGTTGGAGTTTTGGTTCGACTTTGGGTTTGTTGGGTTTTGGCTTGGGTTCTTTAGGTCCTTTTTGGGTTCTTTTCAGATTTCTGTGTTGAAGTTTTTTGGATTCATTAGGTTGGGTTTAGCATTGAGTTCTTTGGGTTTGACTTTGGTTCAATTTTGGGTTTGTTGGGTTGGGTTTGAGTTCTTGGGGTCCTTTTTGGGTTCTTTTGAGGTTTTTGGGTTTAAGTTTTTTAGATTTGTTGGGTTGGGTTTTTAGGTTTGTTGGGTTTTGGCTTGGATTCTTTGAGTCCTTTTTAGGGTTGAAATCTTCTGGATTTGTTGGGTTGGGTTTAGGGTTGAGTTCTTTGGGTTGGACTTCTGGTTCAATTTTGGGTTTGTTGGGTTTTTAGGGTTGAGTTTTGGCTTGGATTCTTTGGGTCCTTTTTGGGTCCTTTTTGGGTTCTTTTGAGGTTTTTGAGCTGAAGTTTTTTGGAATTGTTGGGTTGGGTTTAGGGTTGAATTCTTTGGGTTGGACTTTTGGGTCAATTTTGGGTTTGTTGGGTTGGGTTTGGATTCTTTGGGTCCTTTTTGGGTTCTTTTGAGGTTTTTGAGCTGAAGTTTTTTGGGTTTGTTGGGTTGGGTTTTGGCTTGGGTTCTTTGGGTTCTTCTTGGGTTCTTCTGAGGTTTTTGGGTTTTAGATTTGTTGGGTTGGGTTTTTAGGGTTTTTAGGGTTGGGTTTTGGCTTGGATTCTTTGGGTCAAGGTTTTTGGGTTGAAATTTTTTGATTTGTTGGGCTGGGTTTAGAGTTGATTTCTTTCAGCTGAACTTCTTGGCATTGGATTTTGGGTCTGTTGGTTGGATTTTGGGTTGGATTTTGGGTTGGGGGTTGTAGGTTGGAGTTTTTTTGGATTTGTTTGGTTTAGGGTTGGATTTGGCTTGTTGAGTTGGGTTTTGAGTTGAGTTCTTTGGGTTGGATTTTGGATTGGGGATTTTAAGTTGATTTTTTTGGGGTTGGGTTTATTGGGTCGGGGTGTTGGTTGGATTTTTGGGGTTGCATCTTCAGGGTTGGATTTTTATCATGGATTCTTTGCGTTGAGTTTTTTGGGGTTGGATTTTGAGGCTGGATTTTGGGTTGGATTTGGGGTTTTTCCCTGATTTCCATAAGGAAATGGTTTTTTACGATCCTGGAGGGAATTCCTTGATTTCTGAGAGACTTTTATGATCCTGGAAGGCTTTTCCTGACCTGAAGGATTCCCTGGAAACTTTGATGATCCTGGAGGGTTTTCGTGACCTTGAGGATTCCCTGATTTCACTGAGGCTTTTATGATCCTGGAGGAGATTCCCTCATTTCCAGGAGACTTTTAATGATCCTGGAGGGCTTTCCTGACCTTAATTCCTGATTTCCAGGAGTCTTTCCAGGATTTCTGGAGGGAATTCCCTGATTCCCAGGATTTCTGGAGGGAATTCCCAGATTCCCAGGATTTCTGGAGGGGATTCCCTGATTGATTCCCAGGATTTCTGGAGGGAATTCCCTGATTCCCAGGATTTCTGGAGGGGATTCCCTGATTCCCAGGATTTCTGGAGGGAATTCCCCAATTCCCAGATTTTCTGGAGGGGATTTCCTGATTCCCAGGATTTCTGGAGGGGATTCCCAGGATTTCTGGAGGGGATTCCCAGATTTTCTGGATCTCTGGAGGGGATTCCCTGATTCCCAGGATTTCTGGAGGGGATTCCCTGATTCCCAGGATTTCTGGAGGGGATTCCCTGATTCCCAGGATTTCTGGAGGGGATTCCCAGGATTTCTGGAGGGAATTCCCAGATTCCCAGGATTTCTGGAGGGGATTCCCTGATTGATTCCCAGGATTTCTGGAGGGAATTCCCTGATTCCCAGGATTTCTGGAGGGAATTCCCCGATTCCCAGGATTTCTGAAGGGAATTCCCCAATTCCCAGGATTTCTGGAGGGAATTCCCTGATTTCCAGGATTTCTGGAGGGGATTCCTGACCTTAAGGAATTCCTGATTTCCAGGAGTCTTTTATTATCCTGGAGGGAATTCCCTGATTTCCAGGAGACTTTTGTGATCCTGGAGGGAATTCCCTGATTCCCAGGATTTCTGGAGGGAATTCCCCGATTCCCAGGATTTCTGAAGGGAATTCCCCAATTCCCAGGATTTCTGGAGGGAATTCCCTGATTTTCTGGATTTCTGGAGGGGATTCCCAGATTTTCTGGATTTCTGGAGGGGATTCCCAGATTTTCTGGATTTCTGGAGGGGATTCCCTGATTCCCAGGATTTCTGGAGGGAATTCCCTGATTCCCAGGATTTCTGGAGGGGATTCCCTGATTCCCAGGATTTCTGGAGGGAATTCCCCAATTCCCAGATTTTCTGGAGGGGATTTCCTGATTCCCAGGATTTCTGGAGGGGATTCCCAGGATTTCTGGAGGGGATTCCCAGATTTTCTGGATCTCTGGAGGGGATTCCCTGATTCCCAGGATTTCTGGAGGGAATTCCCTGATTCCCAGGATTTCTGGAGGGAATTCCCTGATTCCCAGGATTTCTGGAGGGAATTCCCTAATTCCCAGGATTTCTGGAGGGGATTCCTGACCTCACTCCTGTTGGATCCCTCCCGGTGTTTCCCGCTTTTCCATCCTGGCTGCGGCTCCAGGCCGGTTCCTGGAAGTCCTGACCTCCTTTCCCACCACAAATCCAGGTCACCATTCCAAAGGGAATTTGGAGGAAAAGGAAAAGCTCAGCTCGGATTCCACATCCCAGATAAAGCTGGAATCGGCCTGGGGTCCCTCCCTGGCCGGGGGAGCCCTTCCGTGCCTGGATCGGGAATTTGGGATGCGGGAATATTTCACTTTTTGAGGGAATATTTCACTTTTTGAGGGAATATTCCCCTTTTTGTGGGAATATTTCACTTTTTGAGGGAATATTTCACTTTTTGAGGGAATATTTCACTTTTTCATTAAAATGTTTCACTTTTTGAGGGAATATTTCACTTTTTGAGGGAATATTTCACTTTTTGTGGGAATATTTCACTTTTTGTGGGAATATTTCACTTTTTGAGGGAATATTTCACTTTCTGAGGGAATATTTCGCTTTTTGAGGGAATATTTCACTTTTTGAGGGAATATTCCCCTTTTTATGGGAATGTTTCATTTTTTGAGGGAATATTTCACTTTTTGAGGGGATATTTCACTTTTTGTTGGAATATTTCACTTTTTGAGGGAATATTTCACTTTTTGAGTAAAATATTTCATTTTTTGTGGGAATATTTCACTTTTTGAGTAAAATATTTCATTTTTTGTGGGAATATTTCACATTTTGAGTAAAATGTTTCACTTTTTGAGGGAGTATTTCACTTTTTGAGGGAATATTTCACTTTTTGTGGGAATATTTCACATTTTGTTTAAAATGTTTCACTTTTTGAGTAAAATATTTCACTTTTTGAGTAAAATGTTTCACTTTTTGTGGGAATATTTCGCTTTTTGAGGGAATATTTCACTTTTTGAGTAAAATATTTCACTTTTTATGGGAATGTTTCACTTCTTGTGGGAATATTTCGCTTTTTGAGGGAATATTTCATTTTTTGAGGGGATATTCCCCTTTTTAAGGGAATAAAAATTCACTTTTTGTGGGAATATTTCGCTTTTTGAGGGAATATTTCACTTTTTGAAGGAATATTCCCCTTTTTATGGGAATGTTTCACTTCTTGTGGGAATATTTCACTTTTTGAGTAAAATTTTTTACTTTTTGTGGGAATATTTCACTTTTTGAGTAAAATATTTCATTTTTAAGGGGATGTTTCACTTTTTGTGGGGATATTTTGCTCTTTGAGGGAATATTTCACATTCTCTGCCCAATCCATAAATTATTTGGAAATCAGCATTTTTTTTTTAACTTTTTATGAATAAATTCAAACCCTGGCATTTGTTGGTTCATGTTTGATCCAGTGGGATTTATTTCACTTGAATTTCTGGGGGGATTTGTGCTCACTTCAGGCTTCTCCTTCCCATCCCAGGAGCTGCAGGAATTCCTTGGATTTCCTGCTTTATCCTAAAACTTTTATTTCTAGATTCTGACCAAAAAAAAAATAAAAATAAATCCCTTTTATCTGTAACTGCTGCTTGAAAACACGGAAAAATCTGTTGAAATCATAAATAACTTTATCCAAATTTTATTTTTTTTTAATATATATATATTTTTTTTTATTATTCCCAGGATCCAGAGCAGCTCCAGGACAAATCCAATGAAATCCTGACTGCCATAATCCAGGGAATGAGAAAGGAGGAGCCCAGCAACAATGTGAAGCTTGCAGCTACCAACGCACTCCTGAATTCTTTGGAATTCACCAAAGCAAACTTTGACAAAGAGGTGAGAGAGGGGGCGGGGGGGGGGAGAAAACTGGGGGGAAAAAATTCCCAAAATCCCCCCAAAAAATGGGATTTCTGCTGAATCCACGGTCAGTGATGAGGATTCATGCACCACGCTGAGTTTTGATGGATAAATCCTGTGGAAACTGAGACTGGGATTCAGCATTTTGGGATCTTCAGGGCAGGGGGGGAGCAGTGACTTTTTTTTTTTTCCCTTTTTATTTCCTTTTTATTGTCTCCAAGGCCTTTCCTGACCTTGAAAATTCCCTGATTTCCAGAAGATTTTTATGATCTTGGGGGGGCTTTCTCAGCACCCAAATTTTTTCCCCCTTTTTCTCCACCTCTTTTTTCCTCTTTTCCCCTTCTTTTCCCTCCTTTCCTGATTTTTTTTTTCCCTCCCCCTTTTCCCCCACATTTTTTCTTCTTTTTTCCTCCCTTTTCTCCCCATTTTCTTCTTCTTTCCTCTTTTTCCCTCTGCTTCTCCCCTTTTTTTTTCTCCCCCTTTTTTTTCCTCTCCCCTTTTTTTCCTCCCCCTTTATTTTCCTCTCCCCCTTTTTTTCCTCTCCCTTTTCTTTCTCTCCTTTTTCTCTCACTTTTTTTTCCTCTCCTTTTTTTTCCTCTCATTTTTTTCCTCTCCTTTTATTTCCTCTCCCCTTTTTTTTCCTCTTCCCTTTTTTTCTTCCCACCCTTTTTTTTTCCTCTCCTTTTATTTCCTCTCCCCTTTTTTTCCCTCCCCCTTTTTTAATTCCCTCCTTTTTTTTTCCTCTCCTTTTTTTTCTCTCCTTTTTTTTTCCTCTCCCCTTTTTTTCCTCCCCCTTTTCCCTGTAAGTGACCCCTGATCCCATTGGATGCTCCTGGGACAGGATCTCAGCTGGGATCAGCACTTCCCATTCAGCTGCCCTGGCCCCAACCCAAATTCAAACTTTGCCTCTGAAAATCCCTGGGGGAGCAAAAATCATCCCAACAGGAGGCCCCTGGGTGAGGCAACAGCCAAATTCATGGAATTTTATTTTATTTTATTTTATTTTATTTTATTTTATTTTATTTTATTTTTACTTTATTTTTACTTTATTTTTACTTTATTTTTACTTCATTTTACTTTATTTTATTTTAATTTCTAAATTTTTTTATTTTAATTTTTTATTCTATTTTATTTTTTATTCTATTTTATTTTTTATTCTATTTTATTCTATTCTATTTTATTCCATTCTATTTTATTTTATTCTATTATTTAATTATTTTTAAATTGCATTCTAATTTCAATATTTATATATTTTCCTTTTATTTTTAAAATTAATTTAATTTATATTATATATTTTTAATTTAAACTTATTTTATATTTATGTTTCATGTTTTTTAATTTTCAAATTAAATTTTTAATTTAAATTAATTTTTATTTATATTTTATCTGTTTATTTATATTTTTATTTAACTTTATGTTTTAATTTATATTGTATCTGTTTATTTATATTTTTATTTACATTTTAACTTTTATATCCCTAAATTCCCCCTCCCTGGGAAGACTTCAATTCTTTTTTAAACCCCTTTCAATGTTTATTTCTCTTTTTTTTTCAGTCTGAAAGGCACTTTATTATGCAAGTAGTCTGTGAAGCCACACAGTGTCCAGACACGAGGGTGAGTAAATTCAAAATTCCCTTCCTGGGGAATCTCTTCCTCCCAAAAAAGCCATGAAAAATAAGGAAATGGGGTGAAATTTGGCATTTTTCTCTGTCCCAGGTACGAGTGGCTGCCTTACAGAACCTGGTGAAGATAATGTCCCTTTATTACCAATACATGGAGACGTACATGGGGCCTGCCCTCTTTGCTGTGAGTGCTTTTTATTTCATTCTTCTATTCATTCTCACTTCTATTTCGATGATTTCCTCCCATTTGGGTTTATATTTCTCATATTTTTATTCTTTTTATTAATATTTTTTATCTTTCTATTATTTTTTTAAATTTTATGTTTTTAGATATAATAAATATATATATTATATGAATATAATATAAATGTAAGTATATAATGTAACATAATATAATGTAACGTAATATAATGTAACATAATATAATGTAATATAATATAATGTAACATAATATAATGTAATATAATATAATGTAAATATAATATAATGTAACATAATATAATGTAATATAATATAATGTAATATAATGTAATAATATAATGTAATAATTAATATAATGTAATATAATATAATGTAATGTAATATAATATAATATAATATAATATAATATAATTAATGTAATATAATGTAATATAATATAATGTAATATAATATAATGTAATATATTATAGTGTAATATAATGTAATATAATATAATGTAATGTAATATAATGTAATGTAATATAATGTAATATAATGTAATATAATGTAATATAATATAATAATATGGTATAATATGGTATAATATGGTATTATGTAATATATAGTATAATATAGTATAATGTAATATAATATAATATTAATGTTATATATAATACAAATATAAGTAGAATATATAAATATGATATAAATATTTTATTATCTTTTATCTTTTTATTAATATTAATTTTTTCTGAGTTCCATCTCTTTTTATTTCTATTTTTTATTCCTATTTCTCAGGTTTATTTCTCTGATTTCTTCCCATTTTTGTTTGTATTTCTCATATTTATTTGTATTTATATTTCTCACATTTATTTCTCTGATTTCCCCCCATTTATATTTATATTTCTCATATTTTTGGTTTATCTCCCTGTGTTTTTATTGAAATGTATTTCTCTGATCTCCCTCTATTTACATTGATATTTATTTATCTGATTTTCCTCTGTTTTTATTTATAGTTCTCACATTTATTTCTCCCCATTTGTTTTCCTGTTTCTCAGGTTTATTTCTGATTTCCCCCCATTTGTATTTATATTTCTCATATTTTTGGCTGATCTCCTTGTGCTTATATTGATATTTATTTTTCTGATTTCCCACATTTGTATTTATATTTCTCATATTTATATTGATATTTCTGATATTTATTTCTCTAATCTCTTTCAATTTCTATCTCTATTTTCCATTTTTATTGATCTGTCCATCTCTTTTAAAAACCTTCATTCCTGATTTTCCTGAATTGCCCTGGGAAATAATGATAATGATAATAATGATGATGATGATGATGATAATGATGATGATGATAATGATGATGATGATGATGATGATAATAATAATAATAATAATAATAATAATAATGATAATAGTCATAGTAATAAATCTCAATCCCAGCAAAATCCCTAAAAACCCCATCAGCTTTGAGATTCCAGATGGGACAAAAAAACCTCAAACCCCCTGAAGCTTTGAGTTGATAAAACAGAAAAAAATCAGATTATTTTGAATTTTAAAACTCCATAACTCAAATTCCCCACAACCCAGCAACTCTTCCTGACTTCCACACACCGGGATGAATTCCAGGAGGGATAAACCCCTAAAAACTCATTTTTTTCCCCCATTTTTTGACCCTGCAGATCACAATCGAGGCGATGAAAAGCGACATAGACGAGGTGGCTCTGCAGGGCATCGAGTTCTGGTCCAACGTCTGCGACGAGGAGATGGACCTGGCCATCGAGGCCTCAGAGGTGGGGCTTGGGAAAAGCTGGAATTCCCTGGATAATCCCTTTGGGAATGCTGAAATCCTGGGAGTTCCTCCTGCTGTGCCAGGGTGGGGATGGGGAAAATCCCCCAGTTGGTTTTGGGGTCATAAATTTAAAAAAAACCAGCAAATAAAAATTCCCCAAAGAGATTTTGGTTCTTCTTTTGGAGGGGTTTTGGTTCCTTTTTTTGGGAGTTTTTGGTTTCTTTCTTGAGAGTTTTTGGTTCCTCTTTTGGGAGTTTTTAATTCATCCTTTTGGAGTTTTTAATTCTTCATTTTGAAATTTTTAGTTCTTCCCTTTGGAATTTTTAATTCTTTATTTGGAACTTTTCGGTTCCTTCTTTGGGACTTTTTAATTCTTCATTTTGGAGTAGTTAATTCTTCCTTTTGGAATTTTTAGCTCCTTAGCAGTTTTTAGCTCCTCCTTTGGGAGTTTCTAGCTCATTTGGGAGTTGAGTTTTTCCCTCCTCCTTTGGGGGTTTTCAGCTTCTTATTTGGGATTTTTTAGCTTCTTATTTGGGATTTTTTAGCTCCTCATTTGAGGGTTTTCAGCTCCTTATCTGGGATTTTTTAACTCCTCATTTGGGATACTTTTGGCTCCTCCTTTGGGTGTTTTTAGCTCCTTCCTTGGTGCTGGCCCAGGTTCTGCTCCCCCAGGTAAATTGGGGATTTTTAGCTGACTTTGCATTTGGAATTCCTGTTAATCCCAAAATCCTGGAATAGTTTGGGTTGGAAGGACCTTAAATCCCATTCCCATGGGCAGGGACACCTGCCACCATCCCATCTTGCTCCCATCCCTCTCCAACCTGGTGGTTTTTGTTCAAATAACTCAATTTTTACCATTCTTATTCTCTATTTCCACCTAAATCCACGTGCAGCTCCTATCACAGGGCTCTCCCTTCTTTTTCCTGGAAATAATCCATGGCATTAATGAAATAATATCCAAAATTTTGGGGGCTGTCACAACCATGAAGGACTTTGTGCCAAAAGATGTCTCACATTCCCTAAAAATCCATGATTTATGAGTCAAATCTGAGGTTCTGGATGAAATAAAAATAATTATCCTGTGGAATGGCTGAGGCTGGAAAGGAATTTGGGGAATTTGCAGATGCTGTTTGCAGAAATTATCTGTGGAGATCAATAACAGCTGAAAATTTGAAGGGCTGTGCATGAATCACATCTATTTTTTTAAAAGCAGCTAAATCTCTGTGCTTGGATTCCCAAAAAATAAAAAAAAAATCAAGGATAAAAGGACAGGCAGCAGAGTGGGGTGGGATTTATTTGCTCCAAACCTTTTGCTCCTTCACCTCGGGGTCACTTGGTAATTACACCTGACAGCCAAGTGAAAATGGGGATAATTGTGCCCTGTGAGGAGGAATGAGGAATGAAAGTGGATTTTGGAATATTTAAAGTGGATTTTGAAATATTTAACTCGTTGCAAAGTGCCCTTGAGGCAACTCAGAATTCCTGTTGGAAAGGAAGGTGGTTAAAAAAAGGGAATTTTGTGCCTCTTGGAGTTGCTCATTCAGCCTCGTAACGCTGAGAAAAAATAAAATTCTATAAAAACAGATAAATATATCGATGAAAATAAACTTTTCACCTCTTTTTCTTCCCTCCAGGCAGCAGAACAAGGACGGCCCCCAGAGCACACCAGCAAGTTCTATGCCAAGGGGGCACTGCAATATTTGGTCCCTATTCTAACCCAGACCTTAACAAAACAGGTGAGGGCCACATTCCCAGTGGGAATTGCAGCCCAGGAGCTCTTCCTGTCCCCCCTGGCTCCTTTGGGAATTGGGTTTTGGATTCCTCTGATCCCAAAAATGCCTCAGGAGGTGGCGGTCCCTGGTCTGTGATGAGGTTTCATGCACCACTCTGAGCCAGTGATGCAGCAATTTTTGGGCTGAGACTGGGACTTTCCTCCTTTTTCCCTGATCACATCCCTGGATTTGTGATTTCTGGAGAGGTTTGGTGATTCCCTGTATTCCTACTGAGAATATTTGGGATATTAAACCAAATACTCCACAGCTTCTGCCTCACGTGGGATCCAATCTCTGGGATTTTTGAGGCCTAGGTTTTGTTTAGGCCCTGTTAAACTCTCCAGGGATTTATTTGAGCTGTGCTTCCCAGGATTTGGGAGAGGAGGTTTCCAGAGAGGTTTGGTGATTCCCTGTATTCCTACTGGGAATATTTGGGATAATAAACCAAATATTCCACAGCCTCTGCCTCATGTGAGCTCAAATCCCTGTGATTTTTGAGGCCTGGTTTTGTTTAGGCCCTGTAAAACACTTCCAGGGATTTATTGGAGCTCTGCTTCCCAGGATTTGGGAGAGGAGGTTTTCCAGAGAGGGTTGGTGATTCCCTGTATTCCTACTGGGAATATTTGGGATATTAAACCAAATATTTCACAGCCCCTGCCTCATGTGGGATCAAATCCCTGGGATTTTTGAGGCCTAGGTTTTTTTTAGGCCCTGTAAAACACTTCCAGGGATTTGTTGGAGCTGTTCTTTCCCAGGATTTGTGATTTCTGGAGAGGTTTGGTGATTCCCTGTATTCCTACTGAGAATATTTGGGATATTAAACCAAATATTCCACAGCCTCTGTCTCATGTGGGCTCAAATCCCTGGGATTTTTGAGGCCTAGGTTTGTTTAGGCCCTTTAAAACATTTCCAGGGATTTGTTGGGGCAATCAGGCTAATCAAAATTAATGGAATCACTTGCCTAATTATAAAATAAAACTGTTAATTAACAGAACAGGCTTCATTTGGCTGGGAAAGTGCTCCGAGTGAATCCAGGGAATTGTTTTCCTGGTTTCTTTTTGGTCTTGGATGAGCAGAGTGGAATTGTAGGAGGATCCCAGGGGATGAAAAAGGGGCAGCTCTGGAGGCTTTGGGAGTTGGGAAAGGAGATTTTTAATGGTGCAGGGACCTGGGAGGGATCAAAGGGACAAAATTCCACCTGGAAAAGCTCTTTTTGGGGAGGTGGATGAGACCATTCAAAGTCAGAAAGGAATTGGAGGTTTAATAGACTGAGTTTGGTTGGGAAAGGAGGTTTTAAATGGTGCTGGGTCCACTTGGGGAAGATATCTTTTATTAACTGCAGCTCTGAATATATAATTTACTATATATATAATAAATATAAAGTTTTCCTAAATGTATAATTTTCCTAGAAATGTTGTGCTGAACTATAACATAATTCTAAGTAATAGTTATATTACAGTATCTAATGTAATATATAGCATATATTATAGTTTATAATATTAATAATATTGTTGGTAATTATAAAGCAATAAACTATAATTGCTTGGTAACCAGTTGTTACCTTAATTACTTCATTTACCAGAGGTGGTTATGTGCTGGCCATGCATTTTTTTCTTTTAATGATTTAGGATAGCTGTTGCAGGTGTCAGTTAATTGTCACAATCTCCAAATTCCTTCTTACAAGAACAACCAAATTTTCCCCGTTACAGGATTCTATTCTCATGAATTTATTAGGAATTTATTAGGCTATTTATATGATATATTTATCTATATAATATTTATTTATATTATATATATTATAATTAATATAAAATTCCTTTACCAGGAATTTATTAGGCTATTTATATAATATATTTATATATGTATAATATATTTATATTGTATATAATTAATATAAAGTTCCTTTATCAGGAATTTATTGGGCTATTTATATTATATATTTTTATATATATAATATATTTATATTATATATATTAAAACGAATATTAAATTCCTTTATCAGGAATTTATTAGGCTATTTATATTATATTTATATATATAATATATTTATATTATATATATTAGAATTAATAAAAATTCCTTTATCAGGAATTTATTAGGCTGTAATTCCTTTATCAGGAATTTATTAGGCTGTTTATATTATATGTTTATATATATGTAATATATATTTATGTATATAACATATATTTATAATTAATATAAAATCCCTTTATCAGGAATTTATTAGTCTACAACCAGAATAATAAACCCTGAATTACATTTTTTAAAAGCTATTTTATTTTTGCTGAGGTTTTATCACCGTGTAACACCTCAGGGGATATTTTTTTCCAGGATGAGAACGACGACGATGACGACTGGAACCCCTGCAAGGCGGCAGGGGTGTGCCTGATGCTGCTGGCCACGTGCTGCGAGGACGACATCGTCCCCCACGTGCTGCCCTTCATCAAGGAGCACATCAAAAACCCCGACTGGAGGTACCGGGATGCGGCCGTCATGGCCTTCGGGTGCATCCTGGAAGGGCCCGAGCCCAACCAACTCAAACCTTTAGTAATACAGGTGAGGTTTTTAGGAAAAAGAGGTAAAAATGTTGTGGTTTTTCAGAGGAGGGCGTCGGGTTTGCGTGAGGTTTTCGCGTAAGGAGGATCAAGAGGGATATAATCTGTTTTTTGGAGGTAAAAGTCTCATATTTAGAGGCTTTCAGAGCTAAAAATTGCATGGTTCTGTGGAGGAGAATGTCTGTTTTGCTCTTATTTTAAGGAAAATCAGAAGGATATCAGCTGTTTTGGGGGCTTGTGCAGCCTGAGTTTTGTGGGGTTTTGGAGAGTTTTAGAGCCCAAAATCGCTGGGTTAATTGAGGAAGAATGTCTGATTTGCATATCCTCTTAATTTAAGGAAAATGAGAGCATATAATTTTCATCATTTGTTTCATTATCATTTGTTTCAGAGGAAACACAACCTGTTTTGGAGAGCCTGAGTTTTCTGAGTTTTTGGAGGCTTTTAGAGCTCAAAATCCCTGGGTTATCTGGGGGAGAATGCCTGATCTGCATGTGCTCTTAATTTAAAGAAAATCAAAAGGATATTATCTGGTTTTAGAGATTTTTGGAGCTAAAAATCACTGGGTTAATTGGAGGAGAATGTTTGATTTGCTTGTGCTCTTAATTTAAGGAAAATGAGAAGGTTATAACCCCTTTGTGGAAGCTTTTAGAGCCCAAAATCTCCGGGTTAATTGAAGGAGAATGTCTGATTTGCACATGCTCTTAATTTAAGGAAAATCAGAAGAACATCACCTGTTTTGGAGGCTTTTAAAGCCCAAAATTTGTGGGTTAATTGGAGGAGAGCATCTCAAATCCAAATCCTGCATTTGATCCATAACCCAGCACTCACATTAAGTTATCTCAGATCTGCTTTGGGACTCTGGTAGGTAGAAATATGGGAAGAAATGCATTTGAAGAAGTGAAAACGATAATATTTACTGAATGTATAAACTTCTTTGGACATGCTGAGTAAAACCATCCTTGGTGAAGGTGTTTGGAAAAGTGATCACATTAATACAAAATTAAATACCTCCTAAATAAACTACAGGATTGGGATAAATGCAGGATTATTTTTTTCCCCCCTTACCTGGTTTCTCACTGTTCTTTCCCAGGCCATGCCAACGTTGATAGAGCTGATGAAGGATCCCAGTGTGGTGGTCAGGGACACGACGGCCTGGACTGTGGGCAGGATCTGCGAGATGCTGCCTGAGGCCGCCATCAACGACATCTACCTGGCCCCACTGCTGCAGTGCCTGATGGAGGGGCTGAGTGCCGAGCCCAGGGTGGCCACCAACGTCTGCTGGGTGAGGAACCCCCCAAACTCCGCCATGAATCCGGATCCACTGGGAAAAACAGCTCCTGGTGGGATCTGGAAGGGTTTTTGTCCGAGTGTTTCCCCAGTACCGCCGCTAAATTGTGTTGGCTCTTCTGTGCTCATTGGTGAATTTGAAGGGATTGGGAGCTCAGCCCTGCTCTAGACAGCTTGTTCAGATGCCTGGGATTTTTTCCATGAAGGAAATTTCCTTAATATCCAGCCTGGCTGTCCCTTGAGGTTGTTTGGTCTTGTCTGACCAAATCCTCCCCCACTTTCCCTCATGTCTCTTCCCGCTTTCCCTCACGTCTCTTCCCCCTTTCCCTCAAATCTCCCCTGTTTTCCCTCAAATCTCCCTTTTTCCCTTGCGTCTCTTCCCGCCTTCCCTCTCATCTTTTCCCACCTTCCCTCACGTCTCTTCCCCTTTTCCCTCAAATCTCCCTTTTTCCCTCATGTCTCTTCCCTCACGTCTCTTCCCGCCTTCCCTCACGTCTCTTCCCGCTTTCCCTCACGTCTCTTCCTACTTTCCCTCATGTCTCTTCCCGTTTTCCCTCAAATCTCCCCTATTTTCCCCCAAATCTCCCTTTTTCCCTCACATCTCTCCCATTTTCCCTCAGGCAGAGCCTGGTTCCCATCTGGCTTCACCCTTCTGTCAAGAGCTTTATTAAATATAAATTAAAATCTATAAATGCAAATTAATATATAAAAATAGACAGATTTATATCTTTATATTGTTTCCTATATTTATGTAATTTTCTGTGTTTATATTATTTTATATATTTATACATAAATATATTTATGTGGGTTTATACTTTATATATATATTTATATGGGTTTATATATTTCTATAGTTGAACATATTTATATAATTTTTAATGTTGATTTATATATTTATCTGCACACACTTTAGTGAATTTCACAGTTTGCTCCCTCAGCAAACACTGGTTGACACTTTCATTATCCCAACTCTATTTTGTGGCTCTGGCAGGAAAAAATAAAGGAAAAAGGTTGAACTTTAGGGAAAAAAATGTTGATACTCAACTGAGTGTAGAAGTTGCCTCTAGTCTGGGAATGCTACAACTGTCCCTGCTGTCATGGGGTTGGGAAAAGGGATTTTTGGATTAAACTTTTTATTGGATTGCCTCAAGGCCCAAACCCAAACCTGTTCCTGGAGCGATCCCAGAAATAATTTGGGAAGCAGGAATTTTTTTTTGCTGATTCTTTGTGGTCTCTCATGTCCCCACTGCCACCCAGGAGCTGCTCCTTCAGACTCAGCTGGGGAGGAGGATTTTCCTGTCAAAACAACTTCTAGAAGTGACAGAATCTCTTCTTTTTAGAATTCCAGAGGTTCCAAGATTCATCAGCACAAAGGGGTTTTCCCTGCTCTGTTATCCTGGCAAAAATCCAGGTGGCTTTTGTCTCCTGATGATGATTCCTGAGTGTTTGTAGAGTAAAATAAAAAACCAGGAAGCTTTTAGCTCCTCTCACCCACTTATATCACAGTTAAACTGCTCTGGAATTGTTCATCCTGCACACATTTTAGTTTGGGTTTGTTACCTTTTTTTGTTGTGTTTTGGAATCAAAACCTATGGAATCTGAATTTCTGGAGCTATGAGGGTGGAAAACCAAAGGATATTTTGTGTTCCAGGCCTTCTCCAGCCTTGCTGAAGCTGCCTATGAAGCTGCAGATGTGGCTGATGATCAGGAAGAGCCACTGATGATCAGGAAGAGCCAGCAACCTACTGCTTATCCTCCTCCTTTGAGCTGATAGTGCAGAAACTGCTGGAGACTGCAGACAGGTAAAACAACCTCTCCAAAAAGCCTTTTTTTCAATTATTTCCCGCTCCATGCTCTCGGGCTCTTCTTGGCAGCTGAGATCTGGTGTTGGATTAAAAATGTGGCTTTATTTGGTATAAAAAACCTAGAGGAATAGAGGATGCAAATCCCAGGGAAACAGCTCTTCACGCTGAATAATTTCTCATAATTTTGTTCATATCTGGTTTTAGGAAGTCTAGGAGTGTCCCTTTCCCATTTTCCTTTGAATCTGCCCCGTTTTCCCCTCACATCTCCCTTTCATTTCCCCTCATATCTCCCCCATTTCCCCTCACATCTCTCGTCATTTTCCCTCACATCTCCCCCCTGTTTTCCCCTTACCTCTCTCCTATTTTCCCCTCACATCTCTCCTATTTTCCCCTCACATCTCTCCCTCATTTTCCCCTCACATTTCCCCCTCATTTTCCCCTCACACTTCCCCCTCATTTTCCCCTCACATCTCTCCTATTTTCCCCTCACATTTCCCCCTCATTTTCCCCTCACACTTCCCCCTCATTTTCCCCTCACGTCTCTCCTATTTTCCCCTCACCTCTCTCCTATTTTCCCCTCACACTTCCCCCTCATTTTCCCCTTACATTTCCCCCTCATTTTCCCCTCACCTCTCCTATTTTCCCCTCACATCTCCCCCCCATTTTCCCCTCACATCTCCCCCATTTTCCCCTCACATGTCTCCTGTTTCTCCTCACATCTCCCTTATTTCCCCTTAAATCTCCAAGTTTAACGCCACAGTTTTAAGACTCTGCCCTTTTTGTGCAACCCAGTTGCCTGCAGGACCCCAGGATAATCAGGAATTGCAGCAGGATGTAACAGGGATTTGTGTTTGTTCCTTTTCCTGATTGTTTTTCCCATCAGCTCCAGGTGCTCCCAGAAGAGTCAGGGACCTACTTAATCTCCCATTCCCATCCCAGCTGAAACAGAAAATAGATAAGGCAAAATATTTCGCTACGAGGTGCAGGGGGAAAAAAGGCTAAAACTCAAATTTTATGGTGGCTTGGAGGTCACATAAATCTTGACAGCTCGAGGTTCAATCCCTATATCAGCTCCATAGACTGACTGAGCCTTTTTGCTGCTGATTCTTCTTAAAAACCTTGTCCCAGTTGAAAATTTAAACTCTTTCCCTGTCTTCATTTGCATCCAGCTGGGACTGGAGTGTCTGGCTCAAGGCTCTGGAGCCCATCAATCATCTCAGGTGCCTTAATTTCAAATTTCACACTCTCAGAGGTGTCTGGGGAGGGGCTTTGAAGTGCTGCTTACCTGACACCAGCTCCGAGGCTCCTTCTGTCCCTCTCCTTGTTGTGAGAGCTACTGAAAATCATTTTAAAAACTGAAAATCATTAAAATGAAATGTGCCAGAAGTGGCTTCACAAATTCCTTTTATTTCAAGGCTTTTCAAGTGGCTCCTGCTTGTCACAGCACTCAAATGGAGCTGTTGCTGGTTTACTAAAATTAAAAAAAAATCTGTTTCCAAGCACTGGGAGCTGCAAATCTTCCTCCTTCTGTTGCAGACCTGATGGACACCAGAATAACTTGAGGAGTTCTGCCTATGAATCCCTGATGGAAATAGTGAAAAACAGTGCCAAGGACTGTTATCCTGCTGTCCAAAAAACCACCCTGGTCATCATGGAGAGGCTCCAGCAAGTGCTGCAGATGGAGGTGGGTAAATCCTGATTTAAAACAGGGAAATTGTGGCTGCTCTGTCCCTGGGAGTCTCCAAATGCAGGGATGGTGGGAGGTGTCCCTGCCCATGGGAATGGATGGGATTTAAGGTCCCAAACCACTCAGGGATTCTATATTCAGCTTCTTCACAGCCCCTCTGCTCTGAAATCTGAAAAGAACAAATATTTAAAGTACAACCTGGCTCTCTCTGGAGCTGCCAGGATCCCAGGCAGCCTCTTCACACGCGGGGTTTTGTTCTTGTTTCAGTCTCACATCCAGAGCACCTCTGACAGAATTCAGTTCAACGATCTCCAGTCCCTTCTCTGTGCTACTCTCCAGGTAAATTCCTCTCTCCTGTTTATTTTTTGTGGGAATAAAGTGATTTTTGAGGCTTTTCTGTGCCCCCTGAAGATCCAACCTCAGCTCCTGGTGCTGAGAATTGAATGAAAAAAGTGGAATTTGGGTCCCAGCTGACACGTGGGAGGTGCTGCAAGGTTCAGAAGTCTCTAAGTTGTGCTCTAGTGACAAAATCCAGGGCAATATGACTCAACGCTGTTGGGGATTTTATAAAAGAATTGTCTCTGCTGTCAGATTGGTTCTTGGGTTGGCTACAGCCTCAACAATCCCACAGTCAACAACAAAAAAATTCCCTCATGGCTTTGATTCCTTCATCTGCCTCTCGTGCTTGGTGCTCCTGATCCAAATGGCACCAATTAAAATGTTCTGAGTGTCCTCAGAATTCCCAATTAAACATCTGCTAATGAGCAGGAGCCACCAGTGCAGTGCTTACTGCTGCAAACGCCACTCCAAAAAGGGCGTTTTCCCTCAAAAATCAGCTCAGAGCAACCCAGGTGGTCTCGAGGTTGATTTAAGAAATCCTTAATTTCGTCTTCAGTAGCTTTGTGGTTGTTTTCACTCTCCAATTTTTGAAAATAATGGGAAATGGGAATAATCTGTTCTTAGAAAGAGTTCTAATGGGGAATTTTCACTCACAGGATGGGCACTAATCTATGTCAGGGGAGAGTAGTCCAGGTGGAATTAAGCTTCCAGTTTTAATTTCTAAACTTGGGGTTTTTATTACCCCAAAACCTGAACCTGAATTTTTTACTCAGTTGCAGCAAATACTTAAAAACAACTGAGTAAAATTCAGCATATTAAAAAAAAATCAAATCTATTGGTCTTTTACCTAATTTTTTTGTTGTTTTGCTGGAGATACAATTGCGAACATCCAGCAGAGGAAAAACATTTGTTAATATTTAAAGTTAAGTGAGAAAATCCCATCCCTGGAAGGATGGGAAGGAACAACTTGGTTCAGTGGAATATGTTCCTGTCTGTGGAATTTGGGGATTTTTAAACTTCCTTCCCATATAAACCATCCTGTAATTCCATAAATCAAGTCTTAATTACATAAACAGCCAAAGTCTGTCTCTGTGGAGTGAAAAGTTAAACTTCAAATAATTACTTTCCTCTGGAAGTTAAGGATTTTTTTTGTTTTCCTGGGAATTGTTGAATTGTAACCACTTCAAGCATTTCTAAACTAATTCAGAAACCAAACTCGGGTTCAACCCCTACAAGCTCAGCTGCAACAGTGAAAAAGAAAAGTATTTTCTTTTTTTTTTTTCTTTTTTTAATAGGCTAAATTTGGGCTGGTCATATTTAATTCCAGCTTACAAGTAGCAAAGCTTTGAGAACAGCCCATGCAGCAGGAAAGGGAAATTCAGCTGGAAAATCTGAATGCAGCCAAATGAACGGGACTTTGCAGCCACAAAAGCAGATTTTTTTGGCAGCAAAAGGGTTCAAACAGCAGCTCTTTCATCCTTATCACAGCTCCCAGGGGTGTGGGAATGCTGGGATGAGCAGTGGGTTTTGCCTATTTTCCATGACTTTTCCCTCAGAAAATGCAGCTCCTAGGGGTGTGGGAATGCTTTACCTGTGGGATGAGCAGTGATTTTTTCCCATTTTCCATGATTTTTCCCTCAGAAATTTCAACTCCCAGGGGTGTGGGAATGCTTTACCTGTGTGATGAGCAGTGATTTTTGCCTGTTTTCCATGATTTTTCCCTCAGAACGTGCTGCGGAAGGTGCAGCACCCAGGGGTGCGGGAATGCCTTAGCAGTGGGATGAGCAATGATTTTTGTCCATTTTCCATGATTTTTTCCTCAGAAGTTGCAACACCCAGGGGTGCTGGAATGCCTTACCAATGAAATGAGCAGTGATTTTTGCCCATTTTCCATGATTTTTCCCTCAGAACATGCTGCGGAAGGTGCAGCACCCAGGGGTGCGGGAATGCCTTAGCAGTGGGATGAGCAGTGATTTTTGTCCATTTTCCATGATTTTTCCCTCAGAAGTTGCAACACCCAGGGGTGCGGGAATGCCTTACCAATGAAATGAGCAGTGATTTTTGCCCATTTTCCATGATTTTTCCCTCAGAACGTGCTGCGGAAGGTGCAGCACCAGGACGCGTTGCAGATCTCGGACGTGGTGATGGCGTCACTGCTCAGAATGTTCCAGAGCACAGCCGGCTCCGGGGGGGTACAGGAGGACGCCCTGATGGCCGTCAGCACCCTGGTGGAAGGTCAGGAATGGGCTGGGAACAGCCTGGGATGGGGTTAGATCCAGTAATTTTGGGCAACGTGGTAAAAAATGTCATTTGTGGCTGGGTGGTGCAGGGAAGGTGGGGGTGCTCCATCCCTGGAAGTGTCCAAGGTGGCACTTCAAGCTCCTCTTGAAATCAAGAAATCCTGGGATTCTGAAATCAAATCCACCTTAGAGCGTGGAATTTTGATTTCTTGTACTTTCTTATTATTTCCAAGGGAAAATGTGGATAAGGCAGTGAACAAGAGCTGGGGGTGTTGACATGCCTGAAATATCCAAGGCCAGGTTGGACAGGGCTTGGAGCAACTTGGTATAGTGGATGGTGTCACTTAAAAGTCCCTTTCATCCCAAGAAGTCCTGGGATTCTAAAATCTAGACCACCTTGGAGCATGGAATTGTGGTCTGGCATATTTTCTTCTTACTTACAGTAAGAATTTGGGAATTTTTCCAGTCCATTTCAGTTACTCAATTGTCATGTGGAGAGTTGGTTTTCACTGTTTCGCGTGGAATTTCAGGGATATCTGATCTGTTTTTTATGGCAAACGCCACAAACTGGGATTTTCCTTCTCACTGGATTGTTTTCCCTGCACAGTCCTGGGTGGAGAATTCCTGAAATACATGGATGCCTTCAAACCTTTCCTTGGGATTGGGCTGAAAAACTACGCTGAGTACCAGGTATGGATCCAATCTCTCCCTTTATCCAGGGAAATTGTGGCTGCCCCATCCCTGGAATTTTCCAGGGCCAGGTTGGATGAGTGTTGGGATAGTGAAAGGTGTTCCCTGCCCATCCAGTGGGGTCACTTCCAACCCAAACAATCCTGGGATTCTAAAATTCAAACCACCTTGGAGCGTGGAATTTTGGTTTCTTACGTTTTCTTAGTAACTTCCATGGAAAAGTGTGGATAAGGCAGCAAATTCCCCTTGGAATGTCTCAAATCCTGATGCCCTCCAGGGGAATCTGGAGGGTTTTTTCCCAGACCAAATCCTGGCTGGGATTTCCCTTTGAAATATCAAATCCTGGTGGCCTCCATGGGGTGAAACTGGAATTTGGAGGTGTTTTTCCTCAAATCCTGGCTGGGATTTGCCCTTGGAGCAAATCTATGGAATTGGGAGTTGTTTTTTTTCCAGCCCAAATCCTGGCTGGGATTTTACCTTGGAATATCAGATCATGGCTGGGGTTTCCCCTTGGAATATCAAATCCTGGTGGCCTCCATGGGGATTTTGGAGCTGTTTTTCCAGCCCAAATCCTGTCTGGGACATCCCCTTGGAAAACTGTGGAATTTGGATGTGTTTTTCCAACCCAAACCCCTGCCAATCCTGCATGTGCTGCCCTTGTGCCACCCCTCCGTGCTGTCAGCCAGCTCGTTATTCCCAGGATCAAATCACCCTCCCGTGTCTCCAGATCCCAAATCCCCGGGGCTGATCCCAAATCCCCGGGGCTGATCCCAAATCCCCGGGGCTGATCCCTGCTCCGTTGCAGGTCTGCCTGTCGGCAGTGGGGTTGGTGGGGGACCTGTGCCGAGCCCTGCAGTCCAACATCCTCCCCTTCTGCGACGAGGTGATGCAGCTGCTCCTGGAGAACCTGGGGGTGAGTGGGAGATTCCCGGCTCCCGAGTAACAGTTGGATGCACACTCTTCCCCGGGGAGTGGGAGGTGGGAGAAGTGGGAGGAATCCTCCGGGAATGTCTCGTGTTTGGCAACACCGTTTGAACAGCGGCCAGGGGGTGTTGGGGGCAAGGGATTTGGGTTCTGAGGGAACATCTCCTTTAGCAGCTTCCTGAATTCCTGAATAAATTCCTTCCTGAATTCCTCCTAAATTCCTTCCTCTCTCCCACTCCCTCTGCCTCCCTTCCTTCCTGAATTCCTTCCTAATTTTGTGGATTCCTGGATTCCTTCCTTCCTGATTTCCTTCCTTCCTTCCTAATTACTCCCTCCCTTCCGTCCTTTCTTCGTCTTGAATTTCTTCCAGATTCTGAATTCCTCCCTTCCAAAATCCTTTCTTCTTCCCTCCCAAAATCCTTTCTTCCTGCCTTTCCCTGCCTTTCCCCCCCTCCCTCTCCCACATTCCTGGGACATTTCCAGGCATTTTCCAACCCCTGGCTGTGCTTTGCTCCAACACTTCACAACCCTTCCACTGGAGAAGCATTCCGAAGCATCCCGCACAAAACCCCAAAACTGGCACAGCTGGAGGCCGTTCCCTCTTTTCCTTTCCCCATTCCCACGCTGATCCAGGACCCTCTGGGGGTGTTTTCCTTGCAGAACGAGAACGTGCACAGGTCGGTGAAGCCTCAGATCCTCTCGGTGTTCGGGGACATCGCCCTGGCCATCGGGGGCGAGTTCAAGAAGTACCTGGACGTGGTGCTCAACACCCTCCAGCAGGCATCCCAGGCCCAGGTGGACAAGGTGAGCTGTCCCCAATCCCTGGGGACATTCCCAGGGTCTCACCCTGATGCCTCAAGAGGCTGCCAGGAGCAGAGTTAAAGGAATAACTTTATTCCTTTAGGATTTATTAAAATTTATTATGGGATTTATTAAGGGATACACCTTGAGCAGCACAAGAGCCAACACCCAACTGGTCACGAGTTTTCACACTTCCATTAAAAGTTTTGCTCCATTTCCATGTTGGGATTAATTGTCCAAGTGCAGCTCCAGGTTTTGAAATCCCAGATTGCTCCATCAATCCTCTGCTTTTTGCACTTTTTGGGTCTAACTGTGCCCTTGTTCCTGGGGCTGGATTGTTGTGTGTGAACTGTGAGGAGAACTTGCTGACATTCAGAGTCCCACGTAATGAATGCAGCAGAGAACCTGGAAAAACATCAAAATTCAAACTTGAGGCATCATTTTGTCCCTGTCCCCAGTCCGACTACGACATGGTGGATTACCTGAACGAGCTGCGGGAGGGCTGCCTGGAGGCCTACACCGGGATCATCCAGGGGCTGAAGGGAGACCAGGAGAACGTGCACCGTGAGTGCCATCCAGCTTGGGAAAGATCCTGAAAAATCAGACCCCAGTGCCACATCCACCTGGTTTTTTTGGGGGGCATTTAGAACCTTTCTAGCGGAGAAATATTCCCAAATATCCCATACAAACCTCCCTAAGCCTCCTTTTGGCTCTGTCCCTTCCCTTCAAATCAGCCAGCTGGTGCCACCTCCCCCAGTGCCACATCCACTTGGGTTTTTTGGGGCATTTAGAACCTTTCTAGTGGAGAAATATTCCCAAATATCCCATACAAAGCTCCTTGTGGGGTTGGCACATCCTTGGGCACATCCCTGCTCCTTCCCTTAAGATCAGCCACATCCCTCAGTTCCACATCCACTGTTTTTTTTTGGGGCATTAAAACCCATCTAGTGGAGAAATATTCCCAAATATCCCTAAAATTAATAAATACAAACCTCCCTAAGCCTCCTTTTGAGGTTGGCACATCCTTGTCACCTGCTCCTTCCCTTCCTTTAAAATCATCCAGTGGCACCTCCAAACTGCATCTCCTTTTTCCCTTTATTTCCCTGAATTCATTTTTCCCCCTGAATTCCCTTTTTTTTCCCCATTTTTTAATCTGAATTCCCTTTTTTCCCCCTTAATCCCCTTTCACCCCCTTAACTCCCAGTGCCACATCCCCACATTCCTGGGACATTTCCAGGGATCCAGGATTTCCCCCTGAGCCTCCTTTTGGGATTGTGACAACAAACCCTGAGAGCAAGGAACAGCAAAAATCCCAAATAATCCATGACCCAATTCCCCTTCCCTCCCAGAGGAGCTGTTCCAGGTGGGATCCAGGTTGTTTTGGGAACACAAAACATCCATCCCAAAAATTCCCAGCTCTGACCAAGCCTTTCCCCTGCAGCTGACGTGATGCTGGTGCAGCCCAGGGTGGAATTTATCCTCTCCTACATCGACCACATCGCGGGGGACGAGGATCACACGGACGGGGTGGTGGCCTGCGCCGCAGGTCTCATAGGGTGAGGCCTCCCCTTCCCCCTTTTCCTAGGAAAAATCCTGGAATCTGCCCTTTTTTCCTGAAGTTTTTAGTGTCAGTTTTGGGGTTGGAGTTTGGTGTTGGGCTCCAGGTGTGAAGCGATTCCACAGCTGAGAAAATCACCACAAAAACCCCAGATTTAGGATTTTTCCATGAGTTTAGAACCGAAAAAAAACCACAAAACCCTCATCCTTAGGGAACAGAGAAAGCAATTTTTCCTGATGAATTTAAAGAAAATTATAGAGAAATCAACCTTTGGGCAAGAAATCAATTCATTAATCACAATTTCCCCAAAATCAACGCCCCAGACCAGCATTTTTTACCACTCACCTCATTTTTTTTTCCCTCATTTTTCTGCTTCCAGGGATTTGTGTACAGCTTTTGGGAAGGATGTCCTGAAATTAGTAGAAGCCAGACCCATGATCCATGAACTGCTAACGGAAGGGAGGAGATCCAAGACGAACAAAACGAAAACCCTCGCCACCTGGGCCACAAAAGAGCTGAGAAAACTCAAGAACCAAGCTTGGTGAGGGCTCATCCCGGATTTTTTTCCCACCCAAAAAAATCAGGGAATTGGCTCAGCAGAGCCTGGGAAGAATCCCAATCCCAAAATTCTGTTTTTCACAGGGTTGCTTTCCTTGTTTTTGGTGGAAAAAAAGCCCCATTTGGGGGTTTTTTATTTCTCTTTTAATCCTACAAAGTCGATTTTTTTTTCCCCCCATTTTTTTCTTCTGGGATTTGGGGTGTTGAGGTCTTTTTTTTTTTTGTGTGTGTAATCCTGGAATTATTGAGGTTGGAAAAATCTCTAGGATGGAGCCCAACCCAAGAGCCACATCCTCACATTTTTAACCACTTTTAGGGCTTTTAAGTCCCTTTTTCCCCCTGAATTCCCGTTTTTTCCCCCCAAATTCCGTTTTTTTTCCCCTTAATCACCTGAATACCCTTTTTATCCCCCTGAATTCCCATTTTTTCCTCTGAATTCCCTTTTTTCATCTTAATCCCTGAATTCCCTTTCTTCCTTTAAATTCTCTGAATTCCCTTTTTATTCCTGAATCCCCTTTTTGTCCCTGAATTCCCTTAATCCCCTTTTCCCTTGAATCCCCCTTTTTAATTCCCTTTTTCCCTCTAAATTCCCTTTTTCCCCTCGATTCCCTGAATCCCCTTAATCCCCATTTTTCCTCCCCTCAATTCCCTTTTTTCCCTTCAATTCCTCAAATCCCCTTTTTATCCCTGAATTCCCTTTTTATTCCTGAATCCCCTTTTTGTCCCTGAATTCCCTTAATCCCCTTTTCCCTTGAATCCCCCTTTTTAATTCCCTTTTTCCCTCTAAATTCCCTTTTTCCCCTCGATTCCCTGAATCCCCTTAATCCCCATTTTTCCTCCCCTCAATTCCCTTTTTTCCCTTCAATTCCTCAAATCCCCTTTTTATCCCTGAATTCCCTTTTTATTCCTGAATCCCCTTTTTGTCCCTGAATTCCCTTAATCCCCTTTTCCCTTGAATCCCCCTTTTTAATTCCCTTTTTCCCTCTAAATTCCCTTTTTTCGCCTCGATTCCCTGAATCCCTTTTTTCCCCCTAAATCCCATTTTTCCCCTTAAATCCCTTTTTTTTCCCCTCAATTCCCCAAATCCCTTTTTTCCCCCCTAAATCCCATTTTTCCCCTTAAATCCCTTTTTTTTCCCCTCAATTCCCCAAATCCCTTTTTTTCCCCCTAAATCCCATTTTTCCTCTTAAATCCCATTTTTCTTTCTCCTTTTCCAGATCTGTTACCATTGGGACGACACCTGAGGACCCCCACTGGAAAAAACAACACCACCACCAACACCACCAAGAGAAAGAAAAAAAAAAAAAGGAAAAAATCTCCAATCTCCTACAAAACCCCCCAAAAAAAACCCCGGGAGTGAGGACGTGTGCGGAATGTTTGGGAATGAGAGGATGCTGAGGATGAGTGAGTGAGGCTCGGAACAAAAATCCCAACGTTTGGTGAGAACCCCGGCATCCAGGAGGGAATTCTGTGCCCCAAAAATTCCAAGGAAAACACCAAAAACAACAACAAAAAAAAAATAGCAGGGGGAAAGAAAAAACCAAACCTGAAAATTCCCAGGAGCGGCTCAGAGGTGAAAATGAGGGAAAAACGGGGAAAATTGGGATTCAAGTGGTGCTCTGTGAGGTTTTGGCTGCTGGAGAGAGAGAGAGAGAGAGAGGTGGAAAATTGGGAATTCCCAGGGATTTGGGAATGTCCCAGGGATTTGGGAATTTCCCAGGGATTTGGGAATGTCCCAGGGATTTGGGAATCTCCGGGATGAGGCAAATCCCAAAGGAGAGAGAAGGAATTTCAAGAGGAGTGAGTGTGTGTGAGTGAGGTCATATCCACATTCTCAACTTCCCAAAAAAAAAAAAGAAAAAAAAAGAAAAAAAAAAAAGAATTCATTGCAGTTTCTCTCTTATTTTTTTTTTTTTCCCAAAAATCACAAAAAAAAAAAAATTCCGGGAAAAAAAAAAAGACAAAAAAATTCAAAAAAAAAAGACAAAAAAAATATCTAAAATATACAAAATTTAAGGGTTCAGCTGTTGCATTTCATAACTGAGGTTCAGGCAGTAAGAGATGGGGAAAAAATAGTAGAAAAGAGGAAAAAAAAATTTAAAAAAATTAAAAAAAAAATTAAGGAAAGTCGCTTTTTTAGGGATTTTATTTTTAGGGAATGCTGAATGTTCGGAGCTCTTGGCTTGTCCTGCTCAGCAACAAAAGCGCCTTTCCTTCCTTAAATATTCAACTGTGAATGTAGAAATGGGGGAAAAAAACACAATTTTTGGGTTGCAGGGAATAGAAAAATCCATTTGTCCAGCGAGTTTCAGGCTTAAAAAATTCCATAAAAAAAAAAAGTCAGGAAAAAAAAATTAAGAATTGGAATTTTTTTTCTTTTTTTTTTAAAAAAAAAGTGCTGCAATTTGGGAAAAGAGATCTCCTGACTCGGACTGTAGCAGAATCAAAATTGTGCCAAAGAGTTCAAAAAAGCGTTGAAATAAAAAAAAAAAAAAAAGAAAAAAATAAAAATACGTACAAAAAGAAGAAAAAAAAAATTATTTAAAAATTCAGATGATGTTTGGAGAAGGAAATTGGATGTGAAAAAAAAAAATCACAAAAAATGGGATTAAAAGCCGTTTATTTGGAATTATTTGGGATTTATTTTTATTTTTTATTTTGCTTTTTCGGGGCTCGATTCGGATCAGGCTCGATGTGGTTTTTGGTCTCTTGCTGCACTTGGAAAAAAAAAAAAAAACAAAAAACACGAGGAAAAAAATAAAAAACAGGAAAAAAAAAAGGAAAAAAAAAAAAAAGAAATTTATATAAAATATATAAATATATAACTTGAGTTGAGCTGACAACGCCGGCGCTTGTAAAAGGTTTCTATTTTTCCACTGCAGTTGAAGATGAATAAAATGGTGTCAAACATTCCCCAATATTTTCCTTTTTTTTTTTTTTTTTTTGGGATATTCTTTGCTCTTTTCCAGAGGGAAACCCAGAAAAAAAAATTGGGATTTTTTTTTTTATTATTATGGATTTTGAGGGTATTTTATTTTTTTTTTTTTCCCATTAATCCACACAAGGAAAATTTTTATTTTTTCTTTTTTTGTCTTTTCCGCTTCCCGAATTTCTCGCTGCGTTGGGAGCGGAATTTTTTTTTTAGGGGGAGCAGGAAAATTGGGCAGGATTTGCTCCTCAATTCTTGGAGGTTTTATTTTTGTTCATTAATTTTATTTTTTCTTTTATTTTTTCTCTTTTTTTCAATTTTTTCCCTTTTTTTCCCTTTATTTTTCTTTTATTTTTCCATTTTCCTTTAATTTTTTCCACTTTTTTCTTTTAATTTTTTAATTTTTTTTCATTTTTTTCTTAAATTTTCATTGATTTTTCCCTTTATTCTTTATTTTTTTCTTGATTTTTTCTTTTAATTTTTTTCCTGTTCCCATTTTTCTTTTCTCCATTTTCATTTTTCTTTATTCCTTTCATTTTTCCTTATTTATTTTTCCTTTTCTATTTTTATTTACCTTTTTTCTTTATTTTTTCCCGTTTTCTTCATTTTATCACCACTTCTTTTAATCTTTCTCATTTTTATTTATTTTAACTCCCCCATTTTTCTTCATTCATCCATTTTTCTTCAATTTTTATCCCATTTTCTTTAATATATTTCCTTTTTTCCAATGTTTCCTTTTTTCCCTTCTTTTTTCCATTTCTTTTAATTTTTTCCCTTTTTCCAATTTTTCTTTTTTCCCATTTATTTTAATTGTTAATTTCAATCCCCCATCCCTTCCCATTTCTAATTTCACCCCTTATTTTTTCCCCCTTTTCTCCCCCCATTTCCCCCACTTCCAAATTATTTTTATTTTTCTCCTCCAACATTTTTTTTTTGCTAAAAAATTCCATTTTTCCTCCTCCTCATCCCTTTTAATTCCCTTTTCGCTCCCTCCCAGCGCTGCCCCAGCTCGTACAGGGTATCAGACATGAATGTGCCTTCAGTGCTCTGCCCAACGCGCAGAACCGACAAAAACAACCCAAAATCCGCCCAGAAAAACCCAAAATCCACCCAAAAAACCCCAAAAATCCCAGGTAAAACACAAAAAAAACCCCCCCGAGGATCCCGTTCCCAGCGTTGCCTTTTTTCTTTTGATTTCGGGGCGGGGGGCGGCGATTCCCAAAGGTGGAAGAAAACAAAAAAAAAAAAGAAAATTTGAGAAAAACAAAAAAATTTAAAAATCTAAAAATTAATAATTAAAAAAAAAAAGTCGTTTCCGGTCGGGAGGAGCCGATTTCCGGTTCTGGTTGTTTCCGGTTCCGGTTTGTGTTTCCGGTTCCGGTTTGCAGTTCCGGTTCCGGTTGTATTTCCGGTTCCGGTTGTTTCCGGTTCCGGTTGTTTCCGGTTCCGCTCCCGGCTGAGGCAGCGCAGAATAAACACTGAGAGTAGTGCAAAAAACAAAAAAAAAACCAAAAACCGGCTCTGCACTCTTATTTTGGGGTTTTTTTGGGGCTTTTTAAAGGGTTTTTGGGGGGGTTAAATAATCAAAATTTTTTAATTTTTTATTGGGTTTTTCTTGGGCCTTCTGGGGGGATTTTAATTTTTTTGGTTGGGATTTTTTGGGGGTGTTTTTTTTTTGCTTTCTTGGGGTTTTTTTGGTGAATTCTGGGCTTTTTTTGGGGTGGGTTTTGGCTTTGGAAGGTTTTTTGGGGTTTGTTTTGGGGCGGATTGGGGCCTTTGCGCCTTTTTTTGGCCTTTTGGGGTTTTTTTGGGGGGCTGTATCGCAAGAAATTCATTCCTCAAATCCACTCAAACTCTTCCAGCATCTTTTTGGGGGGATTTTTAGGAGAGTTTTGGGATTTTGGGGAGTTTTTTGGGATTTTTGGGGGGATTTTGGGGGTTTTCTTTGGGATTTTTGGGAGAGTTTTGGGATTTTGGGGGTTTTCTTTGGGATTTTAGGAGAGTTTTGGGATTTTGGGGGGTTTTTTGGGGGGATTTTTGGGAGAGTTTTGGGATTTTGGGGGAGTTTTGGGGGTGTTTTGGGATTTTTGGGGTTTTTTTGGGAGAGTTTTGGGATTTTTGGGGTTTTTTTGAGCAGCATCACAAGGAACCGTGGACGGCGCTGGAACTTCCACACTCCCAGAAATTCCAAGCCCCGCTGGGAATTCCAAATCTGGGAATTCCACATTCCTGGGAATTCCAAATTTCCTGGGAATTCCCACATCCCCAGAGATCCCAAACCCCTGGAGATTCCCAAATTCCCGAAGATTCAGCGCCGCCAGCAGCACGAGGACCTCGATCCCATTCCCTCGGGATGAATCAATCCATCAATCAATCAATCAATTAATCAATCAATCAATCAAAGAGCCACCCCTGAGCTCCTCCAGCTCCATAAAAACCTCGGGAAAACCCCGGCCGGGATCCGTTTCTTCACCTCCTCGCTCCACCATTAAAAAAACATTTTATTTTTTATTTTCCCTGATTTTTATATATTTTTCTTTTCCTGCTGTTTCGTTTCCCGGGAGCCTCTGCCAGGCTCCTGCCCCCGCTCGGAGACGCCGTGGGAGGGGAAGGCGCCGGGAGCCGCCGTTTCCTCTCCGGGGGAGACGGAGGTGACAGCGCTGTGTCACCGGTGCCATCTGTGCCACCACCCCGGGCCGGGGACACCGCCACCGATACCGGGATTATTCCCAGGATTGTTCCCACGATTATTCCCGGAGTTATTCCCACGATTATTCCCGGGATCTGCACTTCCCAATGTTGATGTGCTGAGTGGTTCCCCTAAAAGAGGAAAAAAAGCTGATTTTCCTTGGAAAAGGTGGTGAAAAATGAGCCACAAATGGATTTTGGAACCCTGGAGGTGACAGCGCTGTGTCACCGGTGCCATCGGTGCCACCACCCCGGCCCAGGGACACCGCGATTATTCCCGGGAATATTCCCAGGATCTGCACTTCCCAATGTTGATGTGCTGAGCCTTAGAAGAAGGAAAAAAGCTGATTTTCCTTGGAAAATGTGGTGGAAAATGAGCCAAGAATGGATTTTGGAACCCTGGAGGTTACATCAGCCACCGGTGCCACCACCCTGGCCCAGGGACACCGCGATTATTCCCGGGAATGTTCCTGTGATTATTCCCGGGATCTGCACTTCCCGATGTTGATGAGCTGAGCGATCCCCTACCTGGATTTTCCCATTCCAGGGATCTTTTCCCATTCCAGAGATCTTTTCCCAACCCAGAGATCTTTTCCCATTCCAGAGATCTTTTCCCAACCCAGAGATCTTTTCCCATTCCAGAGATCTTTTCCCAACCCAGGGATCTTTTCCCAACCCAGGGACCTTTTC